ATGTGATGCTGATGTGGTGATGATGTGGTGATGATGATGTGATGATGATGTGATGTGATGATGATGTGATGTGATGATGTGGTGATGATGTGATGTGGTGATGTGATGATGTGGTGATGATGTGATGATGATGTGATGTGATGATGTGATGTGATGATGTGGTGATGATGTGATGATGTGGTGATGATGATGTGATGTGGTGATGATGTGATGTGGTGATGATGATGTGGTGATGATGATGTGATGTGGTGATGATGTGATGATGATGTGATGATGATGTAATGATGTGATGATGATGTTGTGATGATGATGTGGTGATGATGTGGTGATGATGTAGTGATGTGATGATGATGTGGTGATGATGTGATGCTGATGTGGTGATGATGATGTGGTGATGATGATGATGTGGTGATGATGATGTGGTGATGATGATGATGTGGTGATGCTGATGTGGTGATGATGATGTGGTGATGATGATGATGTGGTGATGATGTGATGCTGATGTGGTGATGTAGTGATGTGATGATGATGTGATGATGATGTTGTGATGATGATGTGGTGATGATGTAGTGATGTGATGATGATGTGGTGATGATGTGATGATGATGTGGTGATGATTTGATGATGATGTGATGATGTAGTGATGTGATGATGCTGATGTGGTGATGTGGTGATGATGTGGTGATGATGTAGTGATGTGATGGTGATGTGATGATGTAGTAATGATGTGATGATGATGTGGTGATGATGATGTGATGCTGATGTGGTGATGTGGTGATGATGATGTGATGTGATGATGATGTGGTGATGATGATGTGATGCTGATGTGGTGATGTGGTGATGATGATGTGGTGATGATGATGTGGTGATGATGATGTGGTGATGATGATGTGATGAGGATGTGATGTGATGATGATGATGTGATGATGATGTGATGATGTGGTGATGATGTGGTGATGATGATGTGATGATGATGTGATGATGTGATGATGATGTGGTGATGATGTGATGTGATGATGATGTGGTGATGATGTGATGATGTGGTGATGATGTGGTGATGATGTGATGATGATGTGGTGATGATGATGTGATGCTGATGTGGTGATGATGTGGTGATGATGTTATGATGATGATGTGATGTGATGATGATGTGGTGATGATGATGTGATGCTGATGTGGTGATGATGTGATGATGATGTGATGATGTGGTGAAGATGTGATGATGATGTTGTGATGATGATGTGGTGATGATGTAGTGATGTGATGATGATGTGGTGATGATGTGATGCTGATGTGGTGATGTGGTGATGATGATGTGGTGATGATGATGTGATGCTGATGTGGTGATGTGGTGATGATGATGTGATGTGATGATGATGTGGTGATGATGATGTGATGCTGATGTGGTGATGTGGTGATGATGATGTGGTGATGATGATGTGGTGATGATGATGTGGTGATGATGATGTGGTGATGATGATGTGGTGATGATGATGTGATGATGATGTGATGTGATGATGATGTGGTGATGATGATGTGATGCTGATGTGGTGATGATGTGATGATGTGGTGATGATGTGGTGATGATGTGATGATGATGTGGTGATGATGTGATGTGATGATGATGTGGTGATGATGATGTGATGCTGATGTGGTGATGATGTGGGGATGATGATATGATGATGATGTGATGTGATGATGATGTGGTGATGATGATGTGATGCTGATGTGGTGATGATGTGATGATGATGTGATGATGTGGTGAAGATGTGATGATGATGTTGTGATGATGATGTGGTGATGATGTAGTGATGTGATGATGATGTGGTGATGATGTGATGCTGATGTGGTGATGTGGTGATGATGATGTGGTGATGATGATGTGGTGATGATGTAGTGATGTGATGATGATGTGGTGATGATGTGGTGATGATGTAGTGATGTGATGATGATGTGATGATGATGTGGTGATGATGTAGTGATGTGATGATGATGTGGTGATGATGTGATGCTGATGTGGTGATGTAGTGATGTGATGATGATGTGATGATGATGTTGTGATGATGATGTGGTGATGATGATGTGATGCTGATGTGGTGATGATGATGTGATGATGATGATGTGGTGATGTAGTGATGTGATGATGATGTGGTGATGATGATGTGGTGATGATGATGTGGTGATGATGATGTGGTGATGATGTGATGCTGATGTGGTGATGTAGTGATGTGATGGTGATGTGATGATGTGGTGATGATGTGGTGATGATGTAGTGATGTGATGGTGATGTGATGATGTAGTAATGATGTGATGATGATGTGGTGATGATGTGATGCTGATGTGATGATGTAGTGATGTGATGATGATGATGTGGTGATGTAGTGATGTGATGATGATGTGGTGATGATGTAGTGATGTGATGATGATGTGGTGATGATGTGATGCTGATGTGGTGATGTAGTGATGTGATGGTGATGTGATGATGTGATGATGTGGTGATGATGTGGTGATGATGTAGTGATGTGATAATGATGTGGTGATGTGGTGATGATGTGGTGATGTGGTGATGATGTAGTGATGTGATGGTGATGTGATGATGTAGTAATGATGTGGTGATGATGTGATGCTGATGTGATGATGTAGTGATGTGGTGATGATGTGGTGATGATGTAGTAATGAGGTGATGATGATGTGGTGATGATGTGGTGATGATGTAGTTATGTGATGATGATGTGGTGATGATGTGGTGATGATGTAGTGATGTGATGATGATGTGGTGATGATGTGGTGATGATGATGTAGTGATGTGATGATGATGTGGTGGTGATGTGGTGATGATGTAATGCTGATGTCGTGATGATGTAGTGATGTGATGATGATGTGGTGATGATGTAGTAATGTGATGATGATGTGGTGATGATGTGGTGATGTGGTGATGATGTAGTGATGATGTAATGCTGATGTCGTGATGATGTAGTGATGTGATGATGATGTGGTGATGATGTAGTGATGTGATGATGATGTGGTGATGATGTGATGCTGATGTGGTGATGATGTAGTGATGTGATGATGATGTGGTGATGATGTAGTGATGTGATGATGATGTGGTGATGATGTGATGCTGATGTGGTGATGATGTAGTGATGTGATGCTGATGTGGTGATGATGTAGTGATGTGATGATGATGTGGTGATGTGTTGATGATGTAGTGACATGGTGATAATGATGTGGTGATGTGGTGATGATGTGGTGATGTGGTGATGATGTAGTGATGTGATGGTGATGTGATGATGTAGTAATGATGTGATGATGATGTGGTGATGATGTGATGCTGATGTGATGATGTAGTGATGTGGTGATGATGATGTGGTGATGATGTGGTGATGATGTAGTAATGATGTGATGATGATGTGGTGATGATGTGGTGATGATGTAGTTATGTGATGATGATGTGGTGATGATGTGGTGATGATGTAGTGATGTGATGATGATGTGGTGATGATGTGGTGATGTGGTGATGATGATGTAGTGATGTGATGATGATGTGGTGGTGATGTGGTGATGATGTAGTGATGTGATGCTGATGTGGTGATGATGTGGTGATGTGGTGATGATGTAGTGATGATGTAATGCTGATGTCGTGATGATGTAGTGATGTGATGATGATGTGGTGATGATGTAGTAATGTGATGATGATGTGGTGATGATGTGGTGATGATGTAGTGATGATGTAATGCTGATGTCGTGATGATGTAGTGATGTGATGATGATGTGGTGATGATGTAGTGATGTGATGATGATGTGGTGATGTTGTGATGCTGATGTGGTGATGATGTAGTGATGTGATGATGATGTGGTGATGTGTTGATGATGTAGTGATGTGGTGATGATGAAGTAATGTGATGATGATGATGTGGTGATGATGTGGTGATGATGCGGTGATGTGGTGATGATGTGATGTGATGATGATGATGTGGTGATGTGATGATGATGTGGTGATGATGTGGTGATGATGTGATGTGATGATGATGCGGTGATGTGGTGATGATGTGATGTGATGATGATGATGTGGTGATGTGATGATGATGTGGTGATGATGTGATGATGATGTAGTGATGATGTGATGATGATGATGTGGTGATGTAGTGATGTGATGATGATGTGGTGATGATGTGATGATGATGTAGTGATGATGTGATGATGATGATGTGGTGATGTAGTGATGTGATGATGATGCGGTGATGTGATGATGATGTAGTGATGATGTGGTGATGTAGTGATGTGATGATGATGTGGTGATGATGTGATGATGATGTAGTGATGTGGTGATGATGTGATGATGTGATGATGATGATGTGGTGATGTAGTGATGTAATGATGATGCGGTGATGTGATGATGATGTAGTGATGATGTGATGATGATGATGCGGTGATGTGATGATGATGTGATGATGATGTAGTGATGATGATGTTGTGGTGATGTAGTGATGTGATGATGATGCGGTGATGTGATGATGATGTAGTGATGATGTGATGATGATGATGTGGTGATGTAGTGATGTGATGATGATGCGGTGATGTGATGATGATGTAGTGATGATGTGGTGATGTAGTGATGTGATGATGATGTGGTGATGATGTGATGATGATGTAGTGATGTGGTGATGATGTGGTGATGTAGTGATGTAATGATGATGCGGTGATGTGATGATGATGTGGTGATGATGTGATGATGATGATGCGGTGATGTGATGATGATGTGGTGATGATGTAGTGATGATGATGTTGTGGTGATGTAATGATGTGATGATGATGTGGTGATGCGGTGATGTGGTGATGATGTGATGATGATGATGTGATGATGATGTGGTGATGTAGAGATGTGATGATGATGTGGTGATGATGCGGTGATGTGGTGATGATGTGATGTGATGATGATGATGATGTGGTGATGATGATGATGAGATGATGATGCGGTGATGATACAGTGATGTGTTTACCTGTGTGAACGGGCCGCTGTGAACCGAAGCGCTGGAGTCCGCAGCACATCTCTGCTCCAGCACGGCACTGTAATCCACACTGTCGAAGTTCGTCCTCCACACCATCACCTGCAACAGGTCACATGATGAGAACAGGTCACATGATGAGCGCTGCGTACTGAACACACACACACACTTCTGTGTGATCATACAGCAGAGCATCACCTGTTGATCAGAGCCAGCGGAGGCGAAGAAGTCTCCGGTCCTGGAGAAGCTCACACAGGTGGCAGGACCCTAAAAACACAATCATTATGAGACGATCAGTAACAAAGAATATAAATGATGCTTCTCAAAGTAGTGGAAAGAATAATTTGATGTCGTTTGCTTGTCTTATACATAAAACAGCAGCTTGGACATTCGTCTAATCATCTCCTTCAGTGGAGAGTCGGACACAAACAGCTTTATTCTGCACTGTAATCTAGAAGGCACCAGTCGTTTCCTTCTATACACACAATTCTCAGAGCCTGAGAGAACAGAAGAAACCCTCGGCCGTCTGTAGGAGGAAATTATAGCGTCATGAAGCCATATTGACTTTGGCTGAAGAGAGCAGGGTAAATTTAGGCTGAACATGAGCTGACCTCAGACCAGACACGGCAAAACCAAACCACACGCTCTCTCTCACACACACACACACACACACACACACACACTCGCTCGCTCTCTCTCACACAAACACACACTCTCGCTCTCACACACACACACACACACTCTCTCTCTCTCTCACACACACACACACACACTCTCTCTCTCTCACACACATACACATGCGCGCGCGCACACACAGACTCACTCACTCACCACACGCTCTCTCACACACGCACACACACGCACACACACACACACGCACACACACACACACGCGCTCTCTCTCACACAAACACACACTCTCGCTCTCTCTCACACACAAACACACACACTCTCTCTCTCTCACACACACACACACACTCTCTCTCTTTCTCTCTCTCTCTCACACACACACTCACGCATCCTGTGCACATGGAGTGTAAGGGTTTTGGAGTGTAACACAGTCGATGTCAAGTATCCACTCACTGAATTCACTGGATTCACTAGTGTGTGTGACTCTCAGTGAGTTTGCTAACAAACGTTAGCTGTTATGTTTGAGGTTCTGAATGGCTGTTTATCATTTATAGGACTAGATTTCTCTAAATGTATATTAGACAAGCGACTGATGCACCAATTACCTTAAACACGACAGCCTCCGTTTCCTGAACATACAGCTGTAATCAAAATTATTCTAGGCTACTATGAACACAACAAAGACTGCAATACAGGCTTCATAGAGCAATACATCACGACTACTGTAAAAAAAACATCCAAACATGAATGTAATCATCCGAGTACTGTGTGTTGAGGTTAGAGTTACAGCATGTGCTTTAGAGCAGTGTGCTGTTGTATAAGGCCGAACGTGTCTCAGCCTGAAGCGTCAGAGGAAGACGGCAGATGAGCATGAGGAATGTGAACTGGACGAGAAACACGTCTGTAACACGCACCTTCACACACACGTGTGCGCGCATGCTCCGAGACACACTCAACTACACTGCAGCAACATCTGCACATCTCCTGGAAAACATGCTAAATATGCACAGTTGACTCAGAGAGAATAATGAGAGCCATAACAGCGCACACACTTCACATGTTAAACACTTCTAGTGCCATCTAACGCTTACCTAGCGACAGACAGACGGAAGAGCGTTTCAGTACAAGAAACAGTAGTACATATACAAGTACATTTACAAGAAATAGTAGTAAAAAATTAAGAATATATATAAAAAATATTCAGTCAATACAAACATTTACAGACTTAGAGGCAAAACATCGACCTAGAATCACCTGATTTACACTGTTTGTAAACTTTAATCCCAGTACTTCTGTGAAAATCTGGAAGATTGTATCATTATAATGATACTGTGTGTTGAAAAGACTGTTTGAGAAGCTGTTTCATATCGATGCATGACAACTGCTTTCTCTGCACTCTTAGAAGAAAATGATCTTTTAACAATTCGTTAATTTTGCATCTATGCATGTACTCAACCCAGAGAAAGAACATTTGGCCTTTCTTCAGCTTATTACAGAGGACTTCAAACTTACCACTCTTATAAAAATGTTTTCATGTTCCGCGGTCTCAAAATGATTCACCCCCTGAACAGAATCCCTCACAACAGCACAAATCTGCAGAACAGGTGTTGTCTCACTAATCAAGGGCTTCATTAGCTGCACCAGGTGTGCGTGAGCTACAACACATGAAATATCTGAACTGGTGAGGTTTGTTGAGTGTCACGTTTGACTGCATGTTAGAAGAAATATGGCTAAGAACTCTGATGCTGACTAACAGGCGGTCTATGAGCCTTACCGGACGGATCGCACACACAGACACCACACACACACACTAGCATGAAGCATCGCACACACAGACACCACACACACACACTAGCATGAAGCATCGCACACACAGACACCACACACACACTAGCATGAAGCATCGCACACAGACACCACACACACACACTAGCATGAAGCATCGCACACACAGACACCACACACACACACACACTAGCATGAAGCATCGCACACACAGACACCACACACACACACACACACACTAGCATGAAGAATCGCACACACAGACACCACACACACACACACACTAGCATGAAGCATCGCACACACAGACACCACACACACACTAGCATGAAGCATCGTACACACAGACACCACACACACACTAGCATGAAGCATCGCACACACACACACACACACACTAGCATGAAGCATCGCACACACAGACACCACACACACACACACACACACTAGCATGAAGAATCGCACACACAGACACCACACACACACACACACTAGCATGAAGCATCGCACACACAGACACCACACACACACTAGCATGAAGAATCGCACACACAGACACCACACACACACTAGCATGAAGCATCGCACACACAGACACCACACACACACACACACTAGCATGAAGCATCGCACACACAGACACCACACACACACACACACTAGCATGAAGCATCGCACACACAGACACCACACACACACACACACTAGCATGAAGAATCGCACACACAGACACCACACACACACACACACTAGCATGAAGCATCGCACACACAGACACCACACACACACACACACTAGCATGAAGAATCGCACACACAGACACCACACACACACACACACACTAGCATGAAGCATCGCACACACAGACACCACACACACACACACACTAGCATGAAGCATCGCACACACAGACACCACACACACACACACACTAGCATGAAAAATCGCACACACAGACACCACACACACACACACACTAGCATGAAGCATCGCACACACAGACACCACACACACACACACACTAGCATGAAGAATCGCACACACAGACACCACACACACACACACACTAGCATGAAGCATCGCACACAGACACCACACACACACACACACACTAGCATGAAGCATCGCACACACAGACACAACACACACACACACACACTAGCATGAAGCATCGCACACACAGACACCACACACACACACACACTAGCATGAAGCATCGCACACACAGACACCACACACACACACACACACACACTAGCATGAAGAATCGCACACACAGACACCACACACACACACACACACTAGCATGAAGCATCGCACACACAGACACCACACACACACACACACTAGCATGAAGCATCGCACACAGACACCACACACACACACACACACTAGCATGAAGCATCGCACACACAGACACCACACACACACACACACTAGCATGAAGCATCGCACACACAGACACAACACACACACACACACTAGCATGAAGCATCGCACACACAGACACCACACACACACACACACTAGCATGAAGCATCGCACACAGACACCACACACACACACACACACTAGCATGAAGCATCGCACACACAGACACCACACACACACACACACACTAGCATGAAGCATCGCACACACAGACACCACACACACACACACACTAGCATGAAGCATCGCACACACAGACACCACACACACACTAGCATGAAGCATCGCACACACAGACACCACACACACACACACACTAGCATGAAGCATCGCACACACAGACACCACACACACACACACACACTAGCATGAAGCATCGCACACACAGACACCACACACACACACACACACACTAGCATGAAGAATCGCACACACAGACACCACACACACACACACACTAGCATGAAGCATCGCACACACAGACACCACACACACACTAGCATGAAGAATCGCACACACAGACACCACACACACACACACACACTAGCATGAAGCATCGCACACACAGACACAACACACACACACACACTAGCATGAAGCATCGCACACACAGACACCACACACACACACACACTAGCATGAAGAATCGCACACACAGACACCACACACACACACACACTAGCATGAAGAATCGCACACACAGACACAACACACACACACACACTAGCATGAAGAATCGCACACACAGACACCACACACACACACACACTAGCATGAAGCATCGCACACACAGACACCACACACACACACACACACACTAGCATGAAGAATCGCACACACAGACACCACACACACACACACACTAGCATGAAGCATCGCACACACAGACACCACACACACACTAGCATGAAGAATCGCACACACAGACACCACACACACACACACACTAGCATGAAGCATCGCACACACAGACACCACACACACACACACACTAGCATGAAGCATCGCACACACAGACACCACACACACACACACACTAGCATGAAGAATCGCACACACAGACACCACACACACACACACACACACACTAGCATGAAGAATCGCACACAGACACCACACACACACACACTAGCATGAAGCATCGCACACACAGACACAACACACACACACACTAGCATGAAGCATCGCACACACAGACACCACACACACACTAGCATGAAGAATCGCACACACAGACACCACACACACACACACACACTAGCATGAAGAATCGCACACACAGACACCACACACACACACACACACTAGCATGAAGAATCGCACACACAGACACCACACACACACACACACACTAGCATGAAGCATCGCACACACAGACACCACACACACACACACACTAGCATGAAGCATCGCACACACAGACACCACACACACACTAGCATGAAGAATCGCACACACAGACACCACACACACACACACTAGCATGAAGCATCGCACACACAGACACCACACACACACACACACTAGCATGAAGAATCGCACACACAGACACCACACACACACACACACTAGCATGAAGAATCGCACACACAGACACCACACACACACACACACTAGCATGAAGCATCGCACACACAGACACCACACACACACTAGCATGAAGAATCGCACACACAGACACCACACACACACTAGCATGAAGAATCGCACACACAGACACCACACACACACACACACACACTAGCATGAAGCATCGCACACACAGACACCACACACACACACACACACTAGCATGAAGAATCGCACACACAGACACCACACACACACACACACTAGCATGAAGCATCGCACACACAGACACCACACACACACTAGCATGAAGCATCGCACACACAGACACCACACACACACTAGCATGAAGCATCGCACACACAGACACCACACACACACTAGCATGAAGCATCGCACACACAGACACCACACACACACTAGCATGAAGCATCGCACACACAGACACCACACACACACACACACACTAGCATGAAGCATCGCACACACAGACACCACACACACACTAGCATGAAGCATCGCACACACAGACACCACACACACACTAGCATGAAGCATCGCACACACAGACACCACACACACACTAGCATGAAGCATCGCACACACAGACACCACACACACACACACTAGCATGAAGCATCGCACACACAGACACCACACACACACTAGCATGAAGCATCGCACACACAGACACCACACACACACACACTAGCATGAAGCATCGCACACACAGACACCACACACACACTAGCATGAAGCAGCTGCTGATCCTCTCAGAGCCAAGAGAGACTCCGGCCAATGACAGCTTCCAGAGAGACAGACTCGTGCTGGTGACTGCAGGAACCGGGTGAACTCTTACGGGCCATTCACAAACCTTTATGAGAATCTAGATCTAGCCAAAGCTAAATGTGTTTTATCTGATGAGCGCACTAATGCCTCAGGTACAGCACATTCACAGGTGCACAATCCTCTGCCGTCGGAGGGAAACCTTTATTACATGCTCGTTACATGCATTACTGAAGATGAAAGGTCAGCAAAAGGAAGTGCAGTTTTCACCTTGATGACGCGTCTAAAGACATGCCAGAAACACTTCTTTACATGTTTGTTCTGAGACAAAACTAAAGAATAATGTGAACAGTGAAAAAAAATCACTGTAAATAACCTTGTAAAGTTAGGGTTAGCCATGTGACGGCATCAGATAACTGATATCACGATAGTTGAAGTTTTTTTAATTAAAATCCTCGTGAACTGGAAGTTGTGGCCGACTTCACTTGTGACCTGTTATCCCAGTGAAGAGGAAAACTGAATGAGAAAAAGAGAGGGCGTGGCTTTTTTCTGCTGGGAATTGATTGGATCTAGAAAAGTAGGCGTTCCCTTCAGATCTGAACACTAGATGACAGTCTGACGTCATCAGAGAAGGAAGCACATTTTTAGATTTTGATCAAAGATTACAAAGACAAAAAATGTATTTTATGGATTAACTTGGATGATTGGATGATGGTTGACCACAAGAATAGTAACGTGTGCTAATGAAGTACATGAGGTCGATTTTGATTTCATGACTTTATGTTAAAGCACTTTTATAAATGCCTCGTTCATTGATTCATTAAAGCACTTAAGTTCTATGCGGTGTGTACGGACCTGAAATGAACTAGTTGTTAATGACGTATTTAAACTCTGATCAGGGACCGTGTCTCTTCTGTATGAGTGCAGTGCAGGAAAACCACAGGGAAAAGATTTGTGTTGCCAGATCTTGCTAAAAATAGCACATAATAAACCAAAGTAAATCCTTAATATTAAAATTAAGACCAAGGCATTGTGATATTGAAAGGCCTTTGTATATCTGGAACGGACGCTATAGCAGGAGCTGGAGAGGCCGAAGCGTGGACTGAACAAGAGCCTTTCAGTGGGACGTTACGCAACAGCCGTGTCGAAGATGAGGTCAGACACCAGCAGACCTCAGATCAGCTCATCGCACTCGTGGAACCACCATTAATGTGTCAGAGACGAATCCAGTGACGGTCCAGACGTGAGTCTCGTCTCCTCCTGCTGCCTGGCATCAACACTAGCACTATAGCTAATCACTGTAGCTAGTTAACCACAATACACCTTAACTGAGCTGCCCGTCACATGACTGAAAACTCAAACGTCTTCGAGCTGACTGAAGCCCTTTGATAGTGATCTGTTCCTCATGTGCTGCCTGTGTTTCCAGCGGTGTGTTGAGCTGAAGGCTCATCCCACTGACGCTAGCAGGCGTTCGCTACACGAACGCTAACCAGGAGGCTTCAGGTCTGAGCGCTAACATGACTCATCTTCAGTATGTAGGCGTGTGCTTTGACACTCGATTGATTTAGCCAACGCTCCGCTGAAGGGAAAACACAACACCTAGTGAAGTGGCAGTGTTGGAACACACAGATCACTTCTGTCATGTGATGAATTCATTCATATGCAGAACAACATGCGCTTCGACCCATCAAGCGAAGGCATGATTCCCAAGCGCTGCATTAGCCCTGGTGAACTGCCTCATGAAGACTAAAGTAGATATGCATCAGGTAATAATGCAGAAGTTATAAGAGTGCATGTGTGATTTAGTGCATGAAGAAGGTTGTCCGAAAATACAAAGCAGTCGTCAGGTCAGAGTTTGCCTCGTTTCCGAGACTCTGTCTTCAGCGCACAGGTTCTGGAGTGTGAGTGGAGGGTCAGGGGTCAGGATCTTGAGCGTGGAGTCGCTGGAGGTCAGGGTTAAGGTCAGGGTCAGAGGTCAGGGGTCAGCGGCATGTACCTGATGGCCGTGGAGTGTGTAGAGCAGCAGGCCCTCCAGCAGGTCCAGAATCTTTAGTGTGAAGTCACTGGAGGTCAGGGTTAAGGTCAGGGTCAGAGGTCAGGGGCATGTACCTGATGGCCGTGGAGTGTGTAGAGCAGCAGGCCCTCCAGCAGGTCCAGGATCTTGAGTGTGGAGTCGCTGGAGGTCAAGGTTAAGGTCAGAGGTCAGGGGTCAGCGGTGTGTACCTGATGGCCGTGCAGTGTGTAGAGCAGCAGGCCCTCCAGCAGGTCCAGGATCTTGACTGTGGAGTCGCTGGAGGTCAAGGTTAAGGTCAGAGGTCAGGGGTCAGCGGTGTGTACCTGATGGCCGTGCAGTGTGTAGAGCAGCAGGCCCTCCAGCAGGTCCAGAATCTTTAGTGTGAAGTCACTGGAGGTCAGGGGTCAGGGTTAAGGTCGGGTCAGGGTTAAGGTCAGGGGTCAGGGGTCAGCGGCATGTACCTGATGGCCGTGGAGTGTGTAGAGCAGCCGGCCCTCCAGCAGGTCCAGGATCTTGAGTGTGGAGTCGCTGGAGGTCAAGGTTAAGGTCAGGGTCAGAGGTCAGGGGCATGTACCTGATGGCCGTGGAGTGTGTAGAGCAGCAGGCCCTCCAGCAGGTCCAGAATCTTGACTGTGGAGTCGCTGGAGGTCAAGGTTAAGGTCAGAGGTCAGGGGTCAGCGGTGTGTACCTGATGGCCGTGCAGTGTGTAGAGCAGCCGGCCCTCCAGCAGGTCCAGAATCTTTAGTGTGAAGTCACTGGAGGTCAGGGGTCAGGGTTAAGGTCAGGGGTCAGCGGCATGTACCTGATGGCCGTGGAGTGTGTAGAGCAGCCGGCCCTCCAGCAGGTCCAGGATCTTGAGTGTGGAGTCGCTGGAGGTCAGAGGTCAGGGGTCAGGGTTAAGGTCGGGTCAGGGTTAACGTCAGGGTCAGAGGTCAGCTCGGTGTACCTGATGGCCGTGCAGTGTGTAGAGCAGCCGACCCTCCACCAGGTCCAGAATCTTGAGTGTGGAGTCGCTGGAGGTCAAGGTTAAGGTCAGGGTCAGAGGTCAGCGGCGTGAACCTGATGGCAGTGTGTAGAGCAGCCGGCCCTCCACCAGGTCCAGGATCTTGAGTGTGGAGTCGCTGGAGGTCAAGGTTAAGGTCAGGGGTCAGCGGCGTGTACCTGATGGCCGTGCAGTGTGTAGAGCAGCCGGCCCTCCAGCAGGTCCAGGATCTTGAGTGTTGAGTCGCTGGAGGTCAGGGGTCAGGGTTAAGGTCGGGTCAGGGTTAACGTCAGGGTCAGAGGTCAGGGGTCAGCTGTGAGTACCTGATGGCCGTGCAGTGTGTAGAGCAGCCAGCCCTTCAACAGGTCCAGGATCTTGAGTGTGGAGTCGCTGGAGGTCAGGGTTAACGTCAGGGTCAGGGTTAACGTCAGGGTCAGAGGTCAGAGGTCAGGGGTCAGCGGTGTGTACCTGATGGCCGTGCAGTGTGTAGAGCAGCCGGCCCTCCAGCAGGTCCAGGATCTTGAGTGTGGAGTCGTTGGAGGCTGAGATGAGGAAGTTTCCAGACGGATGGAAGGAGAGGCCGTTCACCGCTGCACTATGAACTGAAACACACACACACAAACACACACACACAAACACACCTTTATCATCTGAACAACTACATAAAACATATAAACCGTAAAAACGGATTCCATTTTAAAACTTTAATTTGGACAGTTTTCAACAACTAAAATGTGTCGGCAAAAAACATGTTTTTCCCATTGCAACCAAACCCAATTTAATGTATAGAATTATATGTTTCCAAGGTAAAAAGTTTTCTTTTTTGTTGTTGTTGCAAAAATATCATGAATTATTAATAATTCACAAATATTACTACATCTTTGAGGAGCACCACACGTTTGACAATCTAACAAACCTCGTCTTGTCATTAGGTGAATTTTACCTTATTGACCTTGCTTGTTTTTGTATGTTGTAAAGTTCTACTGTTTTTAAATAAAAATAAGCAGAAGCAATTGTTAAAATATTTTTAAAAAATATATAACAATGTGAATGAATTTACTTTTAACTGTATTGTAAAGTTAATTGCTGATCAAAACAATAATTCCAGGTTTTGTATTGTTTCTTTGGTCAGTTTGCAAAATTAGACACTCAGCAGAAAAAAAAAAACATGCCTCAGGCGAAGGCAGACACTACAGGCGTCAGCGGGACATCAGCAGCTCACGCCCCCCGCAGGCGAAGGCAGACACTACAGGCGTCAGCGGGACATCAGCAGCTCACGCCCCCCTCAGGCGAAGGCAGACACTACAGGCGTCAGCGGGACATCAGCAGCTCACGCCCCCCGCAGGCGAAGGCAGACACTACAGGCGTCAGTGGGACATCAGCAGCTCACGCCCCCCCGCAGGCGAAGGCAGACACTACAGGCGTCAGCGGGACATCAGCAGCTCACGCCCCCCGCAGGCGAAGGCAGACACTACAGGCGTCAGTGGGACATCAGCAGCTCACGCCCCCCGCAGGCGAAGGCAGACACTACAGGCGTCAGCGGGACATCAGCAGCTCACGCCCCCCTCAGGCGAAGGCAGACACTACAGGCGTCAGCGGGACATCAGCAGCTCACGCCCCCCGCAGGCGAAGGCAGACACTACAGGCGTCAGTGGGACATCAGCAGCTCACGCCCCCCTCAGGCGAAGGCAGACACTACAGGCGTCAGCGGGACATCAGCAGCTCACGCCCCCCGCAGGCGAAGGCAGACACTACAGGCGTCAGTGGGACATCAGCAGCTCACGCCCCCCGCAGGCGAAGGCAGACACTACAGGCGTCAGTGGGACATCAGCAGCTCACGCCCCCCGCAGGCGAAGGCAGACACTACAGGCGTCAGTGGGACATCAGCAGCTCACGCCCCCCGCAGGCGAAGGCAGACACTACAGGCGTCAGTGGGACATCAGCAGCTCACGCCCCCCGCAGGCGAAGGCAGACACTACAGGCGTCAGTGGGACATCAGCAGCTCACGCCCCCCGCAGGCGAAGGCAGACACTACAGGCGTCAGTGGGACATCAGCAGCTCACGCCCCCCGCAGGCGAAGGCAGACACTACAGGCGTCAGTGGGACATCAGCAGCTCACGCCCCCCGCAGGCGAAGGCAGACACTACAGGCGTCAGCGGGACATCAGCAGCTCACGCCCCCCCGCAGGCGAAGGCAGACACTACAGGCGTCAGCGGGACATCAGCAGCTCACGCCCCCCGCAGGCGAAGGCAGACACTACAGGCGTCAGCGGGACATCAGCAGCTCACGCCCCCCGCAGGCGAAGGCAGACACTACAGGCGTCAGCGGGACATCAGCAGCTCACGCCCCCCCGCAGGCGAAGGCAGACACTACAGGCGTCAGTGGGACATCAGCAGCTCACGCCCCCCTCAGGCGAAGGCAGACACTACAGGCGTCAGTGGGACATCAGCAGCTCACGCCCCCCGCAGGCGAAGGCAGACACTACAGGCGTCAGCGGGACATCAGCAGCTCACGCCCCCCCGCAGGCGAAGGCAGACACTACAGGCGTCAGTGGGACATCAGCACATCACGCCCCCCGCAGGCGAAGGCAGACACTACAGGCGTCAGCGGGACATCAGCAGCTCACGCCCCCCGCAGGCGAAGGCAGACACTACAGGCGTCAGCGGGACATCAGCAGCTCACGCCCCCCGCAGGCGAAGGCAGACACTACAGGCGTCAGCGGGACATCAGCAGCTCACGCCCCCCGCAGGCGAAGGCAGACACTACAGGCGTCAGTGGGACATCAGCAGCTCACGCCCCCCTCAGGCGAAGGCAGACACTACAGGCGTCAGTGGGACATCAGCAGCTCCCGCCCCCCGCAGGCGAAGGCAGACACTACAGGCGTCAGCGGGACATCAGCAGCTCACGCCCCCCCGCAGGCGAAGGCAGACACTACAGGCGTCAGCGGGACATCAGCAGCTCACGCCCCCCGCAGGCGAAGGCAGACACTACAGGCGTCAGTGGGACATCAGCAGCTCACGCCCCCCGCAGGCGAAGGCAGACACTACAGGCGTCAGCGGGACATCAGCAGCTCACGCCCCCCCGCAGGCGAAGGCAGACACTACAGGCGTCAGTGGGACATCAGCAGCTCACGCCCCCCGCAGGCGAAGGCAGACACTACAGGCGTCAGTGGGACATCAGCAGCTCACGCCCCCCGCAGGCGAAGGCAGACACTACAGGCGTCAGTGGGACATCAGCAGCTCACGCCCCCCGCAGGCGAAGGCAGACACTACAGGCGTCAGCGGGACATCAGCAGCTCACGCCCCCCGCAGGCGAAGGCAGACACTACAGGCGTCAGTGGGACATCAGCAGCTCACGCCCCCCGCAGGCGAAGGCAGACACTACAGGCGTCAGTGGGACATCAGCAGCTCACGCCCCCCCGCAGGCGAAGGCAGACACTACAGGCGTCAGTGGGACATCAGCAGCTCACGCCCCCCCGCAGGCGAAGGCAGACACTACAGGCGTCAGTGGGACATCAGCAGCTCACGCCCCCCGCAGGCGAAGGCAGACACTACAGGCGTCAGTGGGACATCAGCAGCTCACGCCCCCCCGCAGGCGAAGGCAGACACTACAGGCGTCAGCGGGACATCAGCAGCTCACGCCCCCCGCAGGCGAAGGCAGACACTACAGGCGTCAGTGGGACATCAGCAGCTCACGCCCCCCGCAGGCGAAGGCAGACACTACAGGCGTCAGCGGGACATCAGCAGCTCACGCCCCCCGCAGGCGAAGGCAGACACTACAGGCGTCAGTGGGACATCAGCAGCTCACGCCCCCCGCAGGCGAAGGCAGACACTACAGGCGTCAGTGGGACATCAGCAGCTCACGCCCCCCGCAGGCGAAGGCAGACACTACAGGCGTCAGTGGGACATCAGCAGCTCACGCCCCCCTCAGGCGAAGGCAGACACTACAGGCGTCAGCGGGACATCAGCAGCTCACGCCCCCCTCAGGCGAAGGCAGACACTACAGGCGTCAGCGGGACATCAGCAGCTCACGCCCCCCTCAGGCGAAGGCAGACACTACAGGCGTCAGTGGGACATCAGCAGCTCACGCCCCCCGCAGGCGAAGGCAGACACTACAGGCGTCAGCGGGACATCAGCAGCTCACGCCCCCCGCAGGCGAAGGCAGACACTACAGGCGTCAGCGGGACATCAGCAGCTCACGCCCCCCTCAGGCGAAGGCAGACACTACAGGCGTCAGCGGGACATCAGCAGCTCACGCCCCCCGCAGGCGAAGGCAGACACTACAGGCGTCAGCGGGACATCAGCAGCTCACGCCCCCCTCAGGCGAAGGCAGACACTACAGGCGTCAGCGGGACATCAGCAGCTCACGCCCCCCTCAGGCGAAGGCAGACACTACAGGCGTCAGTGGGACATCAGCACATCACGCCCCCCTCAGGCGAAGGCAGACACTACAGGCGTCAGCGGGACATCAGCAGCTCACGCCCCCCTCAGGCGAAGGCAGACACTACAGGCGTCAGCGGGACATCAGCAGCTCACGCCCCCCTCAGGCGAAGGCAGACACTACAGGCGTCAGCGGGACATCAGCAGCTCACGCCCCCCGCAGGCGAAGGCAGACACTACAGGCGTCAGCGGGACATCAGCAGGTCACGCCCCCCTCAGGCGAAGGCAGACACTACAGGCGTCAGCGGGACATCAGCAGCTCACGCCCCCCGCAGGCGAAGGCAGACACTACAGGCGTCAGCGGGACATCAGCAGCTCACGCCCCCCGCAGGCGAAGGCAGACACTACAGGCGTCAGCGGGACATCAGCAGCTCACGCCCCCCGCAGGCGAAGGCAGACACTACAGGCGTCAGCGGGACATCAGCAGCTCACGCCCCCCGCAGGCGAAGGCAGACACTACAGGCGTCAGCGGGACATCAGCACATCACGCACTGCTTCATTCTGGATCATCTTCATCTACAATAACACTTATATCTTCTGCATGTATTATGCATTACTGGATAATGTTAATTAACATAAACATATATTGTAGACGCACACGCTGTTTTGTGTGTCGGCCTGCAGTGTTTGTGCTCAAGACATGAGAGATTACTTTTATACGCACAAACATTTTCATTTATTAAAGTTACAAGGTTTGAAATGACAGGAAATGAGCCGTTCACGTCTCACATCGACTGACACTTTTCATATGGCCTGAAACTCCTAAAAAACTCTTCTATTTACACAGTTAGCATTATATTTTTGCCCATTAAAATTAGTTTATGTCAGCATGAAACTGAAGTTGTGACTAAATGTATTGTGACTTGGTCTAATAAGAAAAATTGTTAACATTACATTAGTTAACATTTAGTTACACTACTTACACTTCTATTAAACTCAGGTGTTAATAACATTATTATTAACTAACATTAACAAAGATTAATAAATGCTGTAAAAAAATATTGATTATTGTTAGTTTATAATAGTTAAAGGATTAGTTCACTTTAGAATTAAAATTTGATGTTCATGTCTTTCTTCAGTCGAAAATAAATTAAGGTTTTTTAACGTAATGTGTGTCGCATCACAGCTTTAGTGCAAGACCAGCATTTGTGGTTAAAAGTATATAAATCAGGGTATATGCAGGAATCATAGAGATGAATTTAATACCTTTTACTACCTTTTTTACCACCTCCACAATATTTTTTACTACCAACATGACAGCAAGCAGCAGCCCTTTTTTGGGGGGTGTGGGGGGTGGGAGGGGTATGCAAAGCACCATTTACTACTTACTATAAGGTATAAGTGTGACACTGTCACACCCATCATACATATTAGGTACACTAATGTTTAATTGTGATCATTAAGTATTGTCAAGGCAGGGACAATACTTGTTAGGAAGAATGTGGCTAATCAAACAGTTGCTGTACTCCAGTGACTTCCATAGTATTTTTACAATGGAAGTCAATGGGGACCAGCAACTGTTTGGATAGCCACATTCTTCAAAATATCTTCTTTTGTGTTCAGCACAAGAAAGAAATTAATACAGGTTTGGAACAACATTAGAGTGAGTAAATAATGACAGAATTTTTATTTCTGGGTGAACTCTCTCTTTAAGGACAAGCGGCAGCATATTTACTAGGATGTGGTCTCTTAAAGAGCTGCACGCGACACGTCTAATATACACGCATTTGACAAGCAGATTTTCTCTGTTTGCTTTCACTTTAGACATAACCAACTTTGTTTATGTAAACCTTGTGTGTATTTGACAGTATCAGCGCAATAAGACTCGAAAGATAACTCAGTCCAGTATGCAGGCGCTGTTAGACAGGCTTTAGTTCCTGTGAGCGTCGCGTGTACGCGCTCAGAAAAGCGCATGTTAGAACAGCGCATCAGCACGTGAATGACATGTTTAACTAGCAAGACTTTGACGCACATCCAAATAATGACCTTTTGTGAATTGCAGTGTCCCGTGAGTGTAACTCTACCTCTGCGTTTACACGTGATGTGAATGTACGTAGCGTTGTACAGTATGTTGAGATGAAGGTGCCAGAACTGAACTGTTAGAATGCACAATACTACGATATTTCTGCATATTTTAATCATCCACGATCAAAAACCATGATATCGCACACCCCTAATAAAGTGTGTCACATCACACACACTTACCCACAAACACACATTCTCAGGGCTGATGTTTGTGACGGTACGGTCTGCCGTGGTGGTGCTGGTGGCACTGGTTTGCTGCTGACGTGCCGCGACGACAGCTGACCTTTTAAGTTGGCATGATTTGCTGTGATCTGTGTAGTGCTGCTAGCATCGCAAAACAACGAAATAGGGAGCTGTCTGCTCCCCCTCACGCGAATCCACTGCTGGTGAATGTTCGATCCACTGTGAGACTTGATAGCGGACCGCTTATGCCGTTCCAGGTAACATTTATAGTTTTTTTTTGCAGATAGTGCAAAATGCTTCCCCATGACGGGCTTAAGCCAGTCTTTAAATGACGGGTCGTCAACTCAATTTTGCGAAAACTTAAATTTCCCCATTTCACACTGTAAGTTTGGTAGAAAATAGAAGCAAGTGGCTAATATTAACTGAGGTAAAAAGGCGGTAAATGTTGTTGGCGTCGCTGATAGGCTATCAACCACGGAACTCACGGTTTACTTCTACGTCATTGCTATCAACTCCGACTCACTCAGGTCCTGTTAGCACCGTATATTTTTAAACAATGCTAGATGAAGTTAAGATAGGAGACACAAATATTAAGCAAAAAAATGGAAACTCATATATTGAGGTGGTGATGAAAAATTGCGTTTGTTACCTTTTACTACCTTTCAAGAGCCTTAATTTTGCTAGATTCTTTTTACTACCGCGCGGACACCCTGATAAATGTTTATTTTGTTATAAATGTCCGCTGGTTTGTCTAGATAAGACTCTTATTCCTCGGCTGGGATCGTGTCAAGACTTTGAAGCTGCACTGAAACTCATCTGGACCTTCGACCCGTTGGACCCCATTGAAGTCACTATATGGAGAACAATCCTGCAATGTTTTCCTCAAAAACCTTCATTTCCTTTCCACTGAAGAAAGAAAGACATGAACATCTTGGATGACGTGGGGGAGAGTACATTATCAGGAAATTTTTATTCTGAAGTCAATTAATCCTTTAAGGTATTAACTAATGTTAACAAATGAGACCTTATTGTAAAGTGTTCCTCACTCTCACCCTGATAGTGCTGCAGGAGTCTGTGTGAGCGAATGTCCCACACCTTCACTGTGTTGTCTGTGCCAGCCGCTGCCACACAGGTGCCACTCGGGTGAAACGCCACGGTGTTCACATACCTGAACACAAGCAGAGCCTCAGTGTGTGTGTGTGTGTGTGTGTGTGTGTGAGAGAGAGTGAGAGTGAGAGTGTGAGTGTGTGCTGTGCTCACTCACCCGCCGTGATCACAGAACGAGTGAACACACTCTCTGCTGTTCTTATCCCACAGCTTCACTGTTCTGTCATCGCTGGCAGAGACGATCAGACGCCCGTCAGGGGAAAACCTGCAGGATTCATACGACACTATTCAGCACACGGCAGATCACGTCAGAACACGCCAGATCACGTCAGAACACGCCAGATCACGTCAGAACAGGGCAGAACACGGCAGATCACGGCAGAACACGCCAGATCACGGCAGATCACGTCAGAACACGCCAGATCACGGCAGAACACGGCAGAACACGCCAGATCACGGCAGAACACGTCAGATCACGGCAGAACACGGCAGATCACGGCAGAACAGGGCAGATCACGGCAGATCACGTCAGAACACGCCAGATCACGTCAGAACAGGGCAGATCACGGCAGAACACGGCAGAACACGCCAGATCACGGCAGAACACGTCAGATCACGGCAGAACATGTCAGATCACGGCAGAACAGGGCAGATCACGGCAGAACACGTCAGAACACGCCAGAACACGTCACACGTCAGAACACGGCAAAACATGGCAGAACACGGCAAAACATGGCAGAACACGCCAGATCACGTCAGAACATGGCAGATCACGTCAGTCAGAACACGGTAGATCACGTCAGAACACGCCAGATCACGCCAGAACACGTCAGATCACGCCAGATCACAGCAAAACAGGGCAGAACATGTCAGAACAAGTCAGATCACGTCAGAACACGCCAGATCACATCAGAACAAGTCAGATCACGTCAGAACACGCCAGAACACGTCACACGTCAGAACACGTCACACGTCAGAACACGGCAAAACATGGCAGAACACGCCAGATCACGGCAGAACACGGCAGAACAGGGCAGAACTCGTCAGAACACGTCAGATCACGGCAGAACACGTCAGATCACGGCAGAACAGGGCAGATCACGGCAGAACACGTCAGAACACGCCAGAACACGTCACACGTCAGAACACGGCAAAACATGGCAGAACACGCCAGATCACGTCAGAACATGGCAGATCACGTCAGTCAGAACACGGTAGATCACGTCAGAACATGGCAGATCACGTCAGTCAGAACACGGTAGATCACGTCAGAACACGCCAGATCCCGCCAGAACACGTCAGATCACGCCAGATCACAGCAAAACAGGGCAGAACATGTCAGAACAAGTCAGATCACGTCAGAACACGCCAGATCACATCAGAACAAGTCAGATCACGTCAGAACACGCCAGAACACGTCACACGTCAGAACACGTCACACGTCAGAACCCGGCAAAACATGGCAGAACACGGCAAAACATGGCAGAACATGCCAGATCACGTCAGAACACGGCAGAACAGGGCAGAACACGCCAGATCACGCCAGATCACGGCAGAACACGTCAGAACACGCCAGATCACGGCAGAACACGCCAGATCACGGCAGAACAGGGCAGAACACGTCAGAACACGCCAGATCACGCCAGAACACGCCAGATCACATCAGAACAAGTCAGATCACGTCAGAACACGCCAGAACACGCCAGAACACGTCACACGTCAGAACACGGCAAAACATGGCAGAACACGGCAAAACATGGCAGAACACGCCAGATCACGTCAGAACACGGCAGAACAGGGCAGAACTCGTCAGAACACGCCAGATCACAGCAGAACAGGGCAGAACACGTCAGAACACGCCAGATCACGGCAGAACAGGGCAGAACACGCCAGAACACGGCAAAACATGGCAGAACACGGCAAAACATGGCAGAACACGCCAGATCACGTCAGAACATGGCAGATCACGTCAGTCAGAACACGGTAGATTAGGCTTGGCCGGTAATACGGTAATATCGTATACCGCGGGATCTAAAAATAGCAACGGTATCAGTTTCAATATCGTCATACCGTCATAAAAAAAATCCAATGCACTTATATAGAAGACAAGGATTAAATATTAAATATAATTTATTTAATGGCTAAAAATGCTTATGTGTGGTTGTCATCACGTGACAGTGTGGAGGAGAAAGAGTGGGGGAGAGAGGGGGAAAGATGGCAAGTTGCGCACCGAGTGACCTGGTCTCGAAGAAGAACACGACTTCTGCAGTTTGGCAGGGATGGGCATTTCAAGCAAAAATAATATTTGAAGATCGCCTGGTATTATTTGATTATTATTCGAAAATCGCACCCCTCCACCATATGCACACACACATGCATGTAGGCTACACAGCTATACAGCGGAGCGGTGTGACACTTAAATAGGCTATAAGTAAAAAAAAAAACGTATTTCTTTTCATATTTATGTTTAATAATATAATGTTGTTATTTTTTTATTTCATCTATGTTGATTATATGAAAAGGAAACTGCATGAGATGAATAAGATAGGATGATAAGATGCCCAATATCGGAAAACATTTGGAATGGGTCAGACATGATTTTTGACCACTTATTACATTTTGTTTTCAATTCAATTCAATTCAAATTTATTTGTATAGCGCTTTTCACAATACATATTGTTTCAAAGCAGCTTTACAGAAAGTGCATTTCAGAAATGTACATAGAAGAATATAGTTAGTTAATCATCATGTATTAATTTAGGGCATAACATTTCGCCGGCGTCGAGTCGTCTCATCGCAGGTGTTGGGGCATCTGAAGTCTCCGTGAGAGGCTTTCGTTTTGTAGAAAGCCTTTCTTTAAAGTGAATTTCGTTTTGTATAAATTGTATCTTAATTTTAATCAATGTTTCATCAACGAATTGCCTGGAGTAATAAATAAAAGCATATATATTAGACAATATAAGCCGGACACGGAGGCACCGGCGCGTGAACTGGAGCGCGTCTCCTAAAAAAAAACGAAACTCAGCGTAGGCTATAAGATAGATGCCTTAAATATCTGAGAAGTGTATATATATAGTAAGCTTGAAATGTCTACTTTTAAACAAAACAATTAAAAACTAAAAGAAATGGGCCGCTCTCTGTGTAGGCTAATTCATATGAAGTGTGCATTTCTCTCTATGCGTGTTCACTACTGCGAAGATGCGAGTCTTCATCGTAAACTTTATCTGTGCAGCCACTGACATAGAAAGTTTTTCATTAATAAACAATTCAAATGTTTCATGCATTATAATTACTTTTGCCGGTTCTTTGTGGCAAGCTTTATGCGTGCTTTGAGATGCAGAATAGGCAATATATTACGAAAACGCTCATTATGGTTTAGCATTCTCTCCTATATATATTTAAGTAATTTAATCAATATAAATATGTGATTAGACTAATGGCTTCAATCAACTACTACTAGTCAACTAGAAAAAAAACCTTTAGTCGTGCACGGGCAGCCCTACTTCACATGTTTTCTAACCAGCATGTCACTGCGGGCGTTCTGAGCGCGCGACGCTGAGTGGACTGAGCACGCGGCGCGGGATCTTCAGAAATGCGCTCTCTGCTCTGGAGGAAATATTACCACTCCGCTCGCATGCTCTGGTGTGAGACAATGTGCATCTTCTCCTGTTGTCTGAGAGTTGATTGACAGCTTTTAGATGCATTATTGGCATCGCCACCCTCTGGTTGAACGTGTCACCACCGCATCAGAACGGAAAACATGGGGATTTTTTTTAGACAATAATCCCACAACCTATTCCATATTCTATAATAAAATCAAATATTCGAAAATTGTGACTCATCCCTGCTCAAACCAACAGTTTGGTGATGCCTTCTGAGCCTTATGTCATAATTTTGAATTATCACGCGGTAATACCGTATACCGCGGTAAAATAGGGAGGAGGTTTGACGGTATCAAAATTTGGATACCGCCCAAGCCTACGGTAGATCACGTCAGAACACGCCAGAACACGTCAGATCACGCCAGATCACGGCAAAACAGGGCAGAACACGTCAGAACAAGTCAGATCACGTCAGAACACGTCACACGTCAGAACACGTCACACGTCAGAACCCGGCAAAACATGGCAGAACACGCCAGATCACGGCAGAACACGGCAGAACACGTCAGAACACGCCAGATCACGCCAGATCACGGCAGAACAGGGCAGAACACGTCACACGTCAGAACACGTCACACGTCAGAACACGTCAGAACACGCCAGAACACGTCACACGTCAGAACACGTCACACGTCAGAACCCGGCAAAACATGGCAGAACACGCCAGATCACGTCAGAACACGGCAGAACAGGGCAGAACACGTCAGAACACGCCAGATCACGCCAGATCACGCCAGATCACGTCAGATCACGCCAGATCAAGGCAAAACAGGGCAGAACATGTCAGAACAAGTCAGATCACGTCAGAACACGCCAGATCACATCAGAACAAGTCAGATCACGTCAGAACACGCCAGAACACGTCACACGTCAGAACACGTCACACGTCAGAACACGGCAAAACATGGCAGAACACGGCAAAACATGGCAGAACACGCCAGATCACGTCAGAACACGGCAGAACAGGGCAGAACACGTCAGAACACGCCAGATCACGGCAGAACAGGGCAGAACACGTCAGATCACGGCAGAACAGGGCAGAACACGCCAGAACACGTCACACGTCAGAACACGGCAAAACATGCCAGATCACGTCAGAACATGGCAGATCACGTCAGTCAGAACACGGTAGATCACGTCAGATCACGCCAGATCACGGCAAAACAGGGCAGAACACGTCAGAACAAGTCAGATCACGTCAGAACACGCCAGAACACGTCAGAACACGTCACACGTCAGAACCCGGCAAAACATGGCAGAACACGGCAAAACATGGCAGAACACGCCAGATCACGTCAGAACAGGGCAGAACACGCCAGATCACGCCAGATCACGGCAGATCACGGCAGAACAGGGCAGAACACGCCAGATCACGCCAGATCCGGCAGAACAGGGCAGAACACGCCAGATCACGGCAGAACAGGGCAGAACACGTCAGAACACGTCACACGTCAGAACACGGCAAAACATGGCAGAACACGCCAGATCACGTCAGAACATGGCAGATCACGTCAGTCAGAACACGGTAGATCACGTCAGAACACGCCAGATCACGCCAGAACACGTCAGATCACGCCAGATCACGGCAAAACAGGGCAGAACA